GGAGTCGGAGCAGCCACCTCGCGCACTTTTTTAGACTGCTCTGAGTAGCTGGTCACCAACGCCGCTCGTTCGTTGACTGCTGCGAAAAAATCTATAGCAAAATTGACATCGAGGCTCTGGCCATTGTGTTTGCGATTTAGCGTTCCCACAGAATGCCAGGTGGAAATCTTTTCATTTTGATAACAGATCGGAAGCCGCATCTTGCGATATTCGGCTGAGAAATGTATCCTAATGTATATGGTCAACCGTTTGAAAATATGGGCTACAACATTACCCGACTACGATTTCAATATCAAGTGTTGATCAACAGATGAGCTTTTTCAGGCTGGTGCACTGTCACGACTGTTGGACAGACAGCATCAATCAGAAGACACTGGTGTTGCCTATGTCTCCATCGAAGCGGAAGTTGCTTGGTTTTCAAATATTTCTTAGTTTGATTCGAGACACCACTTTGCGGGACCCGTTGCTGTTACAGGTGAGCAGGTTACACCAGTTAAAGTGGCCACAAAATGATTTCTGACGCGCAGCTCCAGCATTTTTTGAAGACGAAAAGTATCCAGTAATCCACTACTGTGTCTGTCCTATTTACTGGACCCGCTGTCATCTTAGCTGAAGTCTAATCCAAAATCCTACGATTGTTTCATGCTGAACACTCTGGTTACAACAAAATGAAAGTTCTGACGAATTATGTATACTGCCTATTAACGGATTCTCAAATTGAGGACTTAACACACTCGTGTTCACATTGTGTCCTAGCAGCGAAACCACGGCGGCGGTGTGATCTGTCCTCCTTGGCATCCTACTACTCCGTAGACCATCCACCATCGCTAAGCTGGCTTTCGACTTGACCGCGGATGTGTGGATCAAATATTCACGCTCCGCCAAATCCTGGGACACCGCGACATCTACCAGAGGCCTATCATCGTTGTATCCCTAGGCATCCGTGATGCATTCGAGTCGCTTGATCGACCTGCGCTATAGCGTTGTTTGCTAAATAGCGGCGTCTCGGAAAAGTACACTGCCATCCTACGCACACTCCACCTCCACATCTCCGGTATAGTGAGGGTCTATGTCATACTTTCGTCGTCATTCGCAGTCAGTGGCGGTGTACGACAGGACTGCCCTATGTTCTCTTTTCTCTTCCATTTTACGTTTGAAGACGTCCTGTTAAGAGCTCTGGAAGGTATCGAACATTTTGGTCTGCAACTACTATCGGGCAAGCTAGCGACCGACTTAGATTATGCTGATGACATTGCCTTACTTAATGACAACTCACAGAGCATGCAAACCATTCTAAACCGTTTGTCCACGGAATGTGCCTCGCCCCGTCGAAGTGTAAGGTGCTGCTCCAGGATTGGCACGCGCTGTCCTGTGCTTACTCTTGAAGGTACACAGCTTAAACAAGTAGATAGCTTTGTATACTTCGGCAGCTGTGTGTCTGCTGGTGGCACTATTGGAAAGGAACTTTCCCTCCGTGTCGCCAAAGCTCGGTCAACCTGAAGAACTCGTGGCGTCGTCGGGATGTCTCTCTCTTGACAAACGGTCGCGTTTACAGTGCCACCGTTCGGACGGTGTTGCTATATGGAAGCAAGTCGTGTGAATGACATGCGCCGCCCTCGACAATGGGTGCTTGAGGAGAATGGCTCGTGTATGGTGGCAGCAGTGCATCTGCAATGGTGAAGTCCAACGTCGAGTATTTTCTTCAACAAGCTGGTTTTGCTGCATCATTTAAGATGGCTCGGCCACGTCTTGCGTATGTCAGCTGAACATTTGCCCCATTACACCCTTTTCGCTCGTGTAGCACTTTGCTGTAAAAGACTGCGTGGCGGTCAACCGTCCTCTCGTTGACTTCACGTCTTGCTCCCGTTGGATCCACAAGTCTACCTGGTTGGGGACCAAAGAACGAGAGTACCGATGGCTGGAAACAATTTCGGATATGGCGCAATGGAAACCAATGTGAGATCTGTGTTAGGAAAACGCTAGTTCTCCCAGGAATTCCATTGAAACCAATAAAAATGTGGATTTATTAGCAGTCGTAGTGCGCGTGCACATCCATTCCCCTTACGACCAGTAGTGTGATTGGCCAATCTTTCTAGGTCGTTAGTGGACCTATTAATAACCACGTGTTTCATTGATGAATACCTGATTTGTTATCAGAATAGATCTCCATCAGAGGCCTTATCGTGTTGGAGTTGGGTCGATCGATTGGAAGCCGAATCTGTGTCCCGTCCGTGAGTCGAGTTGTGTGCATTTTGTGGGTTTACCGTGCCTTGCGTATGTTCGTACTGACCGTTGGGTCGTAACAATCTGTTTACATACTTGTTTAGATTAAGACGCCTAATGCTTAACAATTGAAAAAGACTAAAGCATGAAAAAGATGGCGTGTGAAAAGATCACAAAAATGTCCCGTTCTTTCTACGCAGTAGCTAAATTGTATTGCCAACCTTCAACTAATGTGTCATTATGTTGATGTGATGATTAAACCTGTGTTATTCTATTGGTTTTCATAGTTTTGTTTGGCTATCTGTCTATTTGTTAGACTGTTGCTAATTCTTACATACCTTGCCGACGCCCATGAAAACCACGGTCAAGAGTTCACATTGGGTGTTACCCGCCCGAAAATACTGCATTCCACTACTGGTTTCGAACTTCTTAGCTCTCATAAAGCACAGATAGAAGGCATCGAATCCGGGACTATTGGGAATGTTAGCCAAAACCTCTATCTCTTCGTCCACCAGTTAATGACTGATTGGAGAGTCATTTTCAACTACACGTATGATTGGATTGTGACACGCAATCTCAAGGTAGACCGTGATTCGCCACGTAACTGTCATCACCTTTGCGGAATAAGGAAACTTGCTCTGCGACTTGCAGCTTTTTTCACGAAGACTAATAACTCAGCCGATCTCTTGGAAATCCCCAGATATTTGTATTAACCACGTGGAAATATCAGTCCGTTATTTAGTTCATAGGTTCTCGCCAAACCATGGGAACTGCAAATGACAGGCCTCTGCGATTACCTTTTGTATGCGTACGACATTTCCCTCATAGCTGCCAGGCTGCACTGGACCGATTAGCACTGTCTGTGAATCGTTTTGGGCTATGCTTTGCTTAATCGAAATGCAAGGTTCTTCTCCAAGATTGGCATGGACCCACCTCTGCGCTGACCATTGGTGTTTCTCAGCTATAACTCGTTCAGGAATTCAAGTACATGGGCAGCTATATTAGCGCCTGTGAGAGCGAAGCTGAGACTACAAACCGTATAGCAAAAGCTGGATGTGCTTTTGCCAATCTCCGCCACCTGTGGCGCCAACGCGACATCTCTCTCGCCCTGAAGGGCAAGTTTTATAATGCAGCCGTCCATTCAACACTCTTATACGGTTGCGTAACCTGGCCCATCAGGTCGACGGACATAAAGTGGCTAGCCACGTTCGATCATCGCTGTATTGGCAGCTTAGCTCATGTCTGGTGAGAGCACCGTTTGAGCAATGGGCGTATTTCGTGCAGGAAGAGCTAGTGAATCGCTCAATACCATAATATCACGCACCAGGCTGCGATGGCTGGGCCATGTGTTGCGCATGCTAGCCCACCGACTTCCGCGACGTGCATTGTCTGTGCGATGGGGTGCGGTTGGAAGAGGAAGAGCGGAGGCCAAGCGGTGACTTGGTCGAGAGTAATGAAAACCCTCACTTAGAAGTTGGCGTCGGTTGGTGCATCCGGACTGGCTGGCTGGGGTCCTAAGGACGATGGACACGTTTGGTTGGACACACTTGCTGCTATGGCTAGGAGCCAACCTCAATGGCGTTTGTGTTGTGAGTTCCTTTGTCTATCCCCCTCCTGCTTAGCCTCCCCCTCCAATCATGATCCCTTTCGTTAGGCGTAAAATAACTTTTTACGGCACGATAGCGGACTGTTATCTCTCCGGAACGATGCCCACCCGTTACTGGGGACAGCGGGCATGCCTCTGTTGTTGTTTTTCTTCTTGTCTTGTGTATTACGGAACAATAACTAATGTGTTCTCTACCTGCAGCTAATGTGTATAATGAATGAATAAACTGTCTAATCACGAAACATTTCTTCACAAGAATGGCACACAACGTGGAATACTTATTTCGCTCTTGGTCGGTGTATGCTTTATATATGGTGTTCCACAAACGATTTTCTCCTTCGTAGCGTATAACTATCATTTAGATAGCGGAATCCATCAGGTTCATTTGTGCGTTGATGTCTGTTGGTATACAATTTTCTGTTTATGTTAAACAGCGAAATGCATGCAAACTAGAACATGCAGAAACGAAACGGATTTTCCATTTGAAATCAGTGATAAAATCTATTGTAAGAGAAAAATGGTGAAATTCGCTACACAGTGTTACTGTTTACTAGTGACATCAGTTGGTGCCAAGCTCACATCTGACGTTTCGTACCTGTTACATTTTTGCACAGTGGGTTGTATGCATTCGCACGAGATCCACATGCCCAGCGTTGGAGGTCGTACACTGCGTGACAGTGTCCCGCCTGCATTCTACTATTTTAAGCTGAGGATAACTTGGAGAAGATGGCTATTGTATCTTTTTTGGTTGTTACGATTGAGCGGTCTTTGCCATGGTTTCTGTTGTGTAACTCCGGTGACCGTCTCCCTAAGTACGCGTTTAGCATATGGACTGTCTTCAGATGTCAGCTGCACGGAGAAACGAACCACGTAGCCGTGATGAACTCCTTGTTACCAAATGTCGCCTGTGCATCCATCTATTCCTACTGCTACTACTGCTTTGTGAAAACCGAAATTAAATTGCTACCAACATGCTGTCCTTTTTGTAATTCCCTCACAGTCTTTACCAGTAGACTGAGTGGAATGTATTCCAGTTCTACCGGCACAGCGCACGTTTAACGCCACTTTTGAACCCGCAGCTCGACTCTATCTACTTCTAAAGGGTATATGTCAGTTACCACTCTTTCAATATAACTTTCTCAACTTGTATCTCTAACTTACATTTTCATAGTTGATGACGGAACTGGCTGTATTGAGTGTACTGTTTGGCGCGATACGTCCTGTTGGAAACCGCCCAATATCTCACGTCATGTGGTGTCCAGCACTTCAGTGGAACAGGAACGTATTTGTGATCAGTTGCTTCGAATGGCGCGCAGTCAGCGGCCGGCGCACGGTAATTCGCCTTTACGTTTGGGGCAGATGATTCATCTTCGGGGCAGACTTGGGCGATATCGAGGGAAAGTGAGGCTAAACGCGACTTTCTCTCGTAAGTCCGCATTTGGTAATTTTCGGTGTTTCAGCTATGAAAGTCTCAGCCAATGTCACGTTGTTTCACTTGAGGTATCCTTGTTGAGCCGTTTATTCATGACCTTTCTCCACAGGCATTTGGAAAACGTTTATCTGTGCATATTCCACTCCATAATTCCATTGTAATAATGTAATTGGCACTACTGCCTTGTTTTTCTAGTTCTCCGGCCGCAGTAGTTGACTGATTCCGGTGCACATTTTCTGCTAGACGATTCACATGATGTATACAGTGGTGCGTCTGTTCTCGTCTCATAATATCATTGAACAATAAACTGAGCCACTTTTTTGTCATCCTCCTCATCGACACATCCACGTGTTACTTGGCAGGGCGATTAATTCATACTTTTCCCTTTAGTGTAAGATGTTCATGGGTTTGAGATAGTTCGACATCTGCGCAAGTCAGGGTGTAGGTATATAGTTTGAGTTGTCTTTTGAGCCGGCTTTTTGTTTTGCAGACGTTTCGTTGCCACGCTACACAACATCACCAGTGCCTGGGCCTGGTTCGTTAAGGTTCGTAAGCCAACTCGATCCCATTGTTTGTTGATGGAACTCTACTTTTAATCTCAAACCTTGATGAACTCACCTGCTTACCCTCTTTTTGCTGTTCCGACGGTTTTCACATTCTTCAGACCAAAAGACCAAGCAGACTGCTAGACAAAAACCCAAACCCTCATCACCATTGGTTCTTACGAATTACATCATGAATACTTTTCGATACTTCTTATTTGGATATCATCACTTTTATCCTCCGAGTATTCCGTACGTTTCTTCTCTTTCAAACTCACGAATTCTTGGATCGCTTATTCCTCTTGTTTACACCGGTTTTATCTAGATGGTTGTGTCTTACATGCGACGTTCTTGTTTTGCGATTGCAACACGCATTCTGTCAACTCATCTGGGATCCAATTTTAACATTGCCTCACATTTGCTTCACTTATTTGGCTTAGCGCACTCAAGCTTAGCTGCTCTTGACTTCGTTAATTCCCTACTCAAACCCGCCTATGAATTCTCTTCTTTCTGGCCTAAACAGGTTCAGTTCAGCAACACTCCACCATTAGCATGTATGAATGTCACTGAAAGTGAACTGGACCCCCGTACTTTTGTATGGTCTGACTCACAATACACAGTATTCGGGACATCAGAGGCTGAAAACTACCGTTTTGCCATATTGGGTATTTATAGAAACGAGCCACGGTTAGCTTGTTAGACGTAGCTTGCGAGATTTTCGACAACGAACAGTTGTTTTTATAGATCTGCGATCTCCCTTAATGGAATATCGGAATCCACAGTAAACAGTGCGGTAATGATACTGGTTCTTAAATGTCCGGTGCAGTCAGTCAAGATAGTGCCGGTGGATAACGTGCGTGGTTGTGATCCGATGGACACCAGATTGCACCGTATTAATCGAGGCAACAGATGACGATTAGCATGGACTTTCTATTCCACGGATTTGTAATTCACTTACCGCTTGTTTAAATTACTGGATCTTTAGCTGCTTCGATCACGTAACACCACCGCGATGCCCTTCGTACCAGGTCGCTGCCTCGATTCTACACACGGATACACGCCCTCATGATGATTAGCGGCATCCGATTACGGATTCGTTTATCAGTGTTGCCTCCATTGGGATAGCCACAGGACGCCTGCGCCCACAGAAAGACCATGGGCGGCTTGCGCTGCACCACCCACAGCTCCATCCACACACCCCATATCCAGTACAAACTCAAAGGAATAAGACAGGAAGGCATGTGGATGGGAGCCACGTTTCATCAACGGAGCCGGCTCACACTCCACAGGCAAACACATGCACGCTGTATTTGAGGACTCAGGCGCACAAAATGCGTTGGCTGGACCGTAGTCCGCTCCACACTGAGTGCATGAAACCACTCTTCGAGGTTAGCACGACCACAAGGACCGTGTACCTCTTCCCCTCCAGCAACGACCAATTGTCTCCTAGAGCCAGTATGCACGAGGTAGTGGGTAATAGACAGGTAGGCACCTTGTCAACATGCACATCAAGCGCAGCCACACCGTTGATGTCACACAACAGCCAATCATTCGAAATGCCGATATCAAGTATGAGATATCGAATAAAGTTAACGCCTATGAGGACGTAAATACTCGTTACATGATTATATGGAGTAAATTGGTTAAAAACGAATCCGCGATAAGTACAAAATGTCCGAAATATATGTAAAATATACCACGTGATAAAGTTACGCATGTTTAACACAGTTAGCATAAGCCACGTGTGCAAGTTTAGGAGCAGATTATCAGGTTCGCAGAACAAACCAAATAAAGTGGAATGCATTTTATCCACATTAAAGAGACTTTGTTTAAGTCGGTTTAGCCCAACTGCGGTGAAGAAGCATCATGAATGTAACATCAGCCTCAGCATGCGGTGCAGCCTGAGTAATGACTCCCGTTGAAACCTACAACATTTCACTGTCAGCGATAAAACATTCTATTTTCTGCTTTTCTTGTTCAACTTCTTCATGTAGGTATCGTCACCGAGCCAAGAGAGCTGTTTTCTCAAATGTTACATCGAAAAAAACTAAAATCTGCGATCTACTCTTGCCCATACGACCCAGAGCATATCGGCAAGTCTCTGCTTAAGTCACTCTCAGTAGGTTTAGCAACACACTTTTTTTGCAATTTCGAATCCACTATTTCGCATGTAATGCGATTCGTTTTACCCCTGTTATTTTGCAGGTCAACTGTGCGGAAACAGTGCTTGAAGATGCACGCCGGATTTTGCTTGAGGACAATTTGCATACCTTCACCAAGTGGGATTTGTGCTTGCACTCTCGACTGATACAACTGTTGTCTACCGCACCACACCCTGTCGTGAGTGTTGTGGTGCTTTTTCATAGTATCCACTCTTTCGATTTGATACTTCGCACTCTCTCACGTTTGTCATGGCTTTGACCCGTTGTTATTGTGGTACGCTCTCTCTCTCTCTCTCTCGTTATATATATATATATATATATATATATATATATATATATATATATATATATATCGAAAATGTGAGAAACCGTTCCTAACTTTGGTACAGATCTGTATGTACAAAAGCGTTCATGCTCTAGCATGAGTGCATGTTATGGCCAATTCTTAGCCTTTTATCTGTTTTATGGACCATCCTCGAATGGTTCACCAGGTGAGTTATCGGATGAGAACATGGAGGATATCACTACTATATCAAAGAATCTGTCGAGTTTGGTGTGGAATGATTTGGGGTTCCACATGTCCTTATTGCGGTTGGTAGGCTGTTCCACAGGACGGCGTGTCTGATGAGGAAAAATTGACCTGTCTTTGGTATCCGTAGCGTACATTTTCTCGTTACGGACTCTGTGATGGTTATTATCTTTTATCTCTAAATTGAGTAGGTAAAAGTACCTTTTCTGATCCAGCAAATTGTGAAGGAGCATCAAGTTTTCCTTTAGACGTCGCGGCCAGAGAGGCTCGACTTGAAGCTGTTCTCAACGTTCGCGATAGTTTAGAGTGCATGTGCTGTTCAACAAACGTTTTTCAAATGACCTCTGTAAATTTTTATGGCTTTCCTGTCTAACTTTCGCATGCTGCCATAAGTGAAGTTGCAGTATTCGAGTATAGGACGAGTGAGAGTTTAACTAATTCCAATCTGGTAGCGACTGCATGGATTTTGTGGCATTTGTTACCCACAGATGGTTTGGACCGAGCTATTTGGAATTGGGCTTGTTAAGAAAAACGGAACTCGGAAGAATATCGGATTCTAAGATCACGAGTAGACTTCTGTATGGACATACTTTTGTTACTAAGTTTAATTGACCCAGTGGGGACCGAGCAATCACATGGCATGTCAGATGTTGGCCCTTGCGAAATTACAGCTCTCAATATGTCGCAGCATTCGGTTCGAAGCACAGGACAGCTGAACACGGCACTTTCGGCAGTACACAAAATGTATACCGAATAGCATCAAGTAGTACAGTTTAAAGGACCATCATTGTCATTATTATGATATGCGTTAGCTAGAGATGGAAAGCACCTCAGCTACTGTGCCGGCCACAATTTAAAGCAATTCAAGCGATGATTAGCTTGGCGTCAGACGGGCACGTAAGCCGGGCCCGTTCAATATGAAATAAGTGAACATAGATGAGTAATTTACCTAGCACTGACTTTACTAAGACCAGACAGCAGGAAGTGGTTGAACTCGAATTACACGGATCCCACACTCCTTCTAACTCTAGTTAGAACTACTCAGCTAGCCTGTACGATCGGTTGGTTGACGTACTCGACTTGATCAACGACATTGCAGAACCTCCGGTTAGCTTGCATTCTGTGCGTCCCCCAACTCAGTAGGCAGGCTTGTCGGTTTGTCGACTGGCGGAACCGAAACAGAGTAGTGACGGACATGCTCACTGTGCAGCCACCTACGTATTTTGCCCCAGAAATTCGCGCAGTTCTGCTGACTGCCAAGTCGTTTGGTTAGGCACCTTGACTTTAACCGGTTCATTCTCGCAAAGCTGTCGATGGTTTGACCTACAGTAATACTAAGTCCTAGATTTATCTTGTTTGGTCCCAACACGTAGCCTCTGATCGGGAAATAGCGAGTCCAGCCGCGTCCTTAATCTGCGTGCGAACGTCAGCTCTCCAGGGCTCTTACCAGTCGTCTCATTTGGTGTAGTGGTAACCGAAAAGAAATTTGTCTAACTACGTTCGCAGTTGGACCGACGGTTGTTTTCGTAACCTGTTCTTGACCGTTTGGACCATCCTTTTAGCTAGTCAATCAGAAGTGGGTGGCAAGTTGGTGACTTCACATGACATATACCGTTATTTCTCGGAAACTCCTGCAATTCTCGACTAGTAAACACGGAATCATTGTCTGTTGCTAGTGTGTGCGGTTTACTGAAAGTCCGCACGCGTTAAACGGTTGTCTCAGAAGTAGCTTGTGTTACCGAAGGCAATTCAATCTATTTCGAGTAAGCGTCGGTCATGAGGTGTTACATTTTTCCGTCGAGCGGGTCGAAAAAGTCTGCGCGCTCCCTGGTTTGTTGGGTCACTTCAATGGGCTTGGTGGCACCGGAGGGGCGTTTCTTTATGTGTTTTGACGTGCATCGCACTGTCAGATTAACTTAATGTTTCTGTCACTAATGGCTACTACACCCACGATTGCGCTAATCCCTTCATCCTATTGACTCCCGGGAGAGTTTCTTGTAACTTTTAGAATATTTAGTTTGCAACCCAGGATTCCCAGAGTTCACAGCCATATTCAAGACTAAGCCTTGAGCTTCTAGTGAAGTACGGTAGCAGCTGAGCGCCACATTTATGAGGCCATCCCTGGGAGATTAGACGCTTGACCTTGGCAAGTAGTATATCCTGTTCGCTTTCTTGGCGGAAATTTACGCTTCGCATCGGGTTCCCATCTAAATACTGAAACAAATTAATCAGTTTAGCGGATTTCAGTACACTGTTGAGTAGATGACTCAACGTTAAGTGACTCAGGGCGTTGGCGACTCCATTCGCATTCCCAGAAACATACGAGATTTTACAGTTGTAAGCCTAAAGCAGTATAGCTCAGCGTTGTATGCGAGGAGTGCGTCTATTTTTCGCACCGGTCAAAGTTAATATACTTTTTTAATCTGTAAACATTTCGAACGTTGTTCCCCAAAGGTATCGGTGAAATCTCGACTAGAAAGATAGACACCAAGGCTTCCTTGTCTAGTTGTGCGTACTCTCTCTCCGTTGATGCTAAGCCTCTGGAAGCAAAAGCTATGGGTCCTTCGGTCACGTCTTCCATTCTTTGCGTTAACACAGCCTGGCCTTGTGTGTGACGCGTCGCATCGAAGAGTAATCGATCTCCTTGGATCAAAGTGTATCCGGTAATTAGCCTTATATATATATATATATATATATATATATATATATATATATATATATATATATATATATATATATATATATATATAAACCCGTATATTTAGCGACAAGCAGGTGCGATCATTTAAACACATATAGTGTTATGGTTTACACAGTTTAAACATACTGATAAAAGTAAAAGATGAAAATAGAATTTCGAATATTGACTTTGCCCTCGGATCACTCAAAATACAAGAAGTACGAATATTTGTACCTTTTTCGTACGTGACGAAACTCGAGAGCAGTCAAAAGTAAAGGAGAAGAGAGTAGGTTGCATAGGTGCAAGTTTAATTTCATAGGTAATGAAATGAAAAAGCCTCAACCATCGACAGTTCTGCGTGCGTGAGCATGTTTATGTAAATGTGATCCGTCTCATGGTGGATACGAGAACTACATGATTTCTATTTCTACGGAACACGACTCGCAGTCGGAGCCAGTTACCCGTCGTCTATTGTCTTACCGAGGCAACCTTTTCCCTACCCAACAGCCATTTGTGTTGTTGATTGTGTATTTTTACACGGTACAGCTAACTTTTTCCTAATTGTGTGCTTTGGACATTTATACTTTGCATTCGACCTTTCCGGCTGTTGCCACCAGCATGGTTGCCCCCGGTATTTTGTGCTTATGTGACAACGCGACACCATTGTTGCGTATTGATAAACCGCTGTCGCTAAAGCTTATTCCACCATTTGAACACCTCGGATTACGTCTTTGTCCTACTCTGTTTAGGCCTTTGATGACGCTGAATCTCCTTACCTTACCACCAACTCTTGTGTGCCCGAGAGATCATTAGCGCAGACTGTGCATCGCTTGGTGGACGGACTGATTGAACGTCTGCAGAGTGAGGGCTGGATTTATCCAACCGGTGAGCCGATGGGACCAACTTGCTCGTTTCACGTGAGTCATTTATGCATCATCTGTAATGATGATGCGCCGGAATGAGTTAGATCCACTCCACCTAAAAACAACTCAACTGTATATTTGAGGCGTATCACCACTTCAAAACTCATTTTCGCCTATCTAGGTCGGTCTGCTTTTTTATCTTCGTAAACGGAGGGGCGTCTTTTATTGAGCGATCAATCCATTACTGGCTAGATGCATTACCGTCTGTGAACGATCAGCGTTTGTTAGATGGGATCGTCGACCAGTTTATAACTAGGGATTTTTCTGATCACATGAGTTATCCAGTTATGTTGGCGATTTCAGCACTTGTTTATAGTCCCGATGCATCCACAGCGGATGCTCGATCGTGTGTAAACCTATTTGCGAGCTTTTTTTTCAGACCGCCATGTTTGATAACATACCACCATGGCGACAATGTTTGATTTACAATACTTACGCTTATCGGATTTAGACTTCTCTTATGTGGTGGCTCGACTGTTCGCGGGGCGTTTTGTTGCCGTATAGTCGCGTGTGTGAATTTTTACATGTTATGGTGATCAGTTTTTTGAGTTGGCGATCCCGGTCATTGAGCTGTCGGCCCTTGTTTGTCGGTTGACAAACAGGTGATTCGGCTTCGTACCCCGTGACCTCTGCCCATTTGCTTTTACGGTTGAACCTGTCACCCTTTCTGTCTCTTCTGTTGAAGTTAATCAACCATTCTAGTGATTTCTTACTCGTAGTGTTGTAAGTATGGCATCCAGTTTGTTGATTGAACTGGTTGCGGAGTACCGCACTTACAGGAATTGTTTCGCTTGCAGCATACTTCCACGTTCCGAAATCTTCACCTTTTTTAAGCCGAAGTATTTGCATTCTTGATCCTCACGCATGAAGACCAATGTGTATGGACCATGTCCTACCCATGTAGATTTTCGTTTTTTAACTCAAAACTCTTGCAGTGCTATCTTGTTTGTGCGCCACGGTGATTTTATGTGGTTGTTGCAATCGTGCTCTTATTACGGGTCCGCACTTGATCTATTGAGTTATTACTCGTTTCTTCTTCGCTTGTTTTTCGTGTCGCTGAGTTGTTCTTTACTTCGGAATTCACCGTATGAAGTTTCTTGGATCCCCGTTGTTTTGCAATATTCGGCATAGATGATTGATCACAATACGCAAGCGTTTTGTTGTACATTGTTTGGTTTATGTGTGTGCAAGTCGCACGACTGTTCCCCGGCTGTTTCTTTTATTTCTTTTCACTGAGGGCCCCTCTTTCAGTCCATAATGTGAAGCATCGAAGCGCCATTAAAACTTCCAAGATAGCATTACTGTGCGGCTGTTGCGGTGGTCGCTTAGCTGAGCATTTTGATTACAGACTTTTCACCACGACTGGAGGCGACATCAACAGTGCAGGGGTAGTAGCGACTTCGTTGCAGGAGCTGGTGGAAGGTAAATCCAAAGGTGGACAATTCCGTAAATGCATTTTCCGGACATTTCGTTGCACTTGCTGCCTCAATCGCAAATCTCGCACTTTTCGTTCTGGACCCCTTGTTTTGATGATGATGATAATAGCAGGAATTAATGATAACAGTCTAATAGGCTTCGTGGTACTTCCCTGCGTTGCTTTTTGCCTTACCAGTTATGCTATTGATTGCAAGTATTGTTTAAACGTGTTTCACCAGCGCTTTATCATTCATCACCTAGAGGAACAATGTGAGCCCCGGTTGAATCTTCTTCTTTGTTTCCACATTCATCCTTGGCAGATTGTGTCCGGTGATCGCCTTCTTGTGGAATGCGTGTACGATGTAATCAGAAATCACGATAACACTCTTGGTGGTAAGGCGATTTTTCCCCGCCCCAGACCGACTCTCTTTTCTAATATCATCAGTTATAAAATCATTTCATGTTTTCACTTGCCACAGTACTATTGTACCGATCCTCTGAAATTTCGTGCTATCCTTCTGTAAAGATCACATATCGATCATATTGCTCTGGCTAGTGGCCTACAGTTTTTTCGTGCTAATCCAAATGCCCAGTTAGCGAATGATCATGAGATCAAGGCTTCTCGTAGTATTTATTCAACATCCTTTCTTATCATACTATCGTGTCGAGTGGCCCGTTGGTTCGTTCACAAGAAGTTTTTACTGTGTAATCCACCGAAGTCTTGTTATGGATTTCTGGGGTACTCGAAGGTCCTCAATCCTAGAATGACATCCCAAGCCAACCCCTTTATTTTATTAAATCCTCTCCGTCCAGTGCGTTGCCTAGTACGCTAGTATTTAACAGTAGGCCCACGACTTAGCTTATCTTCGTCTTGACATCACGGTTCACCATACTCTTTGATGAACTTAGCTCTGCGTCATCGGAGCGTTATGCTACAGATGACGTTATTTCTAATTCGGTGATTCTGTCCCAAAAATAAACGTCAGTGAGTGTGCCGACGCCCTGCATTTTACAGAGAATAGCATCATGCAGTAGATTTAGCTTTCCATCGGTAGATGGCGCACCTTTTGGTTTCAAACGTCGTTCATTTGAAACGAATTTGACCGCTTGTTCTTTGCTGCGTGAAATCTACTAACTCGAGAGGTTTATTCAGTCACTGGATTATGCTCCCAACACTGATTACTTTCATAGTCATCAACAGCAGTACATCAACCATTTGAACTGATGATTGGCTGCCCCACAACCATGATGACTAACGGAATAGAGAATAATAGGGCGGAAAGTAGGGGAATCTGGCATAGAACCTTAATATGCTAAGCAAATTCACGGAGTCAACGCACCTACACCTTTTCAAAAACACCGTCAACAACATTTGGCTATCGTGTAAAGATAAGGGAGCATCGGCGAGACAACCTCCTTTCGGCTTCCACTACCATGCGTCATAACCAGCCATTACCTTACAATTCACCACCAAACACACTTATAACAGGCAGCTCGATCAGGAGACTACGGCAGACGCGCCACTGGTGCCGATTTCGAGCCAAGAACAATGTGGGCTACGTGGACTCCAGCCTGGAAGTCGAGGCGGACCAACGGCACTCAGTTTGGTCACCGGTGACTTCATTTCCCGCTGACAAATTAACTTTTGTCCATCTCGAGCCTTGCGCCACTGAACATCTGGCAAACAAAACGAGACCCTTCTCGTTAATCGGTGACGTAATACGTGCCCAAGCCAACGCAACTTATTCAGTGCTATCTGTTGTTCTAAAGAATTAACTTGATTATCGGTGCCTAGCGCTCTCCTACGTACATTATGGTTGCGAGCACGGTGATGCCACCCGACACCAACAAGTCTTCGCAGACAACGATAGCCAACGACTTAAAGACGCCTCAAATCCTCGGACCGATTGAGCCACGTCTCACTGCCTTTGGGTAAGGCGGCCTTCAATGCGATTTTGTAACCACAGTCTTTCAGACCGAGGGAACCCCCTTCTGTCGCCAAAGATGTCGCAGATTAAAGAAGGCAATTCTGGATTTTGCAATACATGAAATGATTTCAGTTTCCATGCGCCCATCGTTGCTAATGCAGCTGCCAAGGTAAGTGAATTGATCGACTACCTTGAGTTCCTCGCTGTGAAGTTTCGAGGGGTCATCAAGCAGCAACACTTTGCACTTCGACGTTGCGAAGTGCATGCCAATTGATAGGACCACACTAGAGGGGTTATTCAGAGTTGATTGGGCCGTCTAAACAGCGTTAAACAGCAAGACAATATCGTCCTCATAATTAGGATCAACTAGCCTCTCACTAGGCAGCACTTCAAGGCCCGTATCGTAAAATTCCTCAAGGGAACACTCCATGATGGAGTCCACGACGAAATTGAACAAAAATGGGGAAATTGGAAACACTGACGAACGCTACTTGTCGCCGTAGGGCTTGACGCGGCCTGTCGTGTTCGTGTATAGAGCACTTACTCCGTGGGAACACCTTTCCACACAAGTATGTCAAACCAAACGGATCGGTCGACTGAGTTGAGCACTTTCTTGAAGTCCAGGAACACAGCTATTTTCGGCCTGCGGTACGTGTTGCGCTGCTCTTGAACCTCCGCAGCGTGAATGTGTGGTCGATACGGCCCCGTACCGGGCCGAAACTTACTTGCTCTTCCCTAAACCGGGATTCCAGTTCCGCTGTGAGGCGACAATGAGAATTGGTGTAATAATTTTTTCACCACCGGCGTTATGCTAATCGCACTTTGGCTAGCACTGGGTGCGGCTGTCACTCGGATCTCCATGGTAAAGGTGGCGAAGATAACAGCGAAAATTCGACTGTGCAACGAAAGATAAGTCAGACAAAACGCCTGATTGTGCTGCGAGGGCAGTGGGTTTCCCGGTTTCAAAGTCAAGCCTTTGGTCGTATTTGACGGGGAACCAGGTGACCACGCCCATCCTCTGAGTCGCTGCCACCGCTTGTCCACGAATGCTTATTCATCTCGTCTGCAAAGCAAACGGGGCCTATTCGCAGTTACCTCCACAAGGAAGGCATTCCCCAATCCGCAGCCTTGGGGACGCGCCCGATGGCGCACAGCTCCACTTTATTTCGATCAAATCGCCGCCATTCTATGATATTTTTGCTGTTTTTCTCCGGATATACATTTTTTATTTTCACCCGTATTACATTTCTATTGGTCAGTCGGCTGTGCCGTTTTCACTTAACCTCGTTTTTACAATATCGCTATGGATACATTAGTTTTCTCAGAATATTTCAACATTGACCTTTGTCAAACTATTTCCAAGGTCAGCACTGCTGTCCTTCGCCTACTTTTTGTGAAAAACTCAAGACACCGCGCACTTGAGGATGGACCATCTCGATTGGAAATCTAATGCTAAACATCCAACCGAATGCGGCTTTATATTATTCTATCCGAAAAGGTTTATTTGTTTGCTTTTTCTACTGACACATGTACGATGTGTCCTTATTCCATTCATACACATTTAAAGATCTAATAATGTAATTTCAGCTAATCCTTAGTCGATATTGTAAAGTGCTGAAATTGTACCTATCTGGATACATAAAGCTTACTTTGACTTGACTTGATGCGTTCCACCTCACTCTTGGCTCCACTAGGATGGGGAGCATCAAACTAGAACCACTTGCCTTTTAACAGAGGTCGGTGGATATATGAATCGTCACAGATTGCGCAGCTCGTTCAGCTGGTGGTGGAAAAACGTACGTCGGCGATGAGTATTAGTTTACTCTGATTATTAGAAGTGCGAGTATCCGCTCCGCGCCAGACTGAAAATTCCTCCGCAACACATCATAGAGCAGGCTAGTCGACCGAGGCGAACGCAGCCCGGATGTCTAAATAGGCGACGATGATAGCCTGGCAATAAAGATGGCGCAGCGTAAACGTGTACCCACATCCTTGACAGGGATAGAAACCAACCTGTTCCTCACGGGAGTGTTCTCGAATCGAAGTTAGCCTGCCCAGTAGAATGGATGTTAACAATTTGGAGGCGACGGATAGACTGATTCCTCTGTGGTTGGCGCATGATGTTACGACCACCACATTTTAAAGATGGGTATGTTGAGCGACACGCCCAAAGAGGATGATACCTTTCCTTCACACCACATCTTCGAGATCAGAGACTTTAACTGGTTGATAATCGCCTCGCCACCGTATTTGAACAGCTGCAGAGGAAGTCCATCTGAGCCAGCAGCTTTGAATCGCTTCAAGCGACGAAGCTCAAGACAGACCTCCACTTCGTTGGGTGGTTCTAGTGAAACGTTCCACGGCGCGAAAGTTGGCCTGCTTGTTCGACGGAAGAAAGGCTACTGAATTGTGTGTGGAAGTGCTTAGCCCAGCAGTCCATGCGCCTACGCAACTTAGTGATTGATGGTCCATTAACCTCGCAAATAGCTTCACTGGCGCCGAGTATTCTGTGGCAGTAGTCCGAATGATTTAGAAAAGCTTGTGAAAGTTCCCAGTGAGTGGATGTCTCCATCTCCGATGCGCGCTTGGACCAAATTTCGCAGTCGTTACGCAGGCTTTGCTTGGGTTGTTGTCTGAGTTTGCGGTGGACTTCATGGCAGCTTGATTCAGCTGGGATAGCTCAGCAACGGTCAAACAATTCCAGAGAGTGAGCAAGGATCCAGCCTCACATAGGAGGCCCAGCGATTTCACAACATTTAATCGGAAGAAAGCAACGTATTCCGCAAGAAATTCCAGTGATCTTCGACATCTGTACGTGGGGCATAAGCGAGAGCATTTGATAAGGAGGATTGATAGACCAGTTGGTGTCCAGCGTACAGTGCTTTGGCTTTGAGGTTCCACCAAAGCGCATGGAAATGTCCGCACAGATCAGAGCGCGATCTGAATCGAGATGGGGGACCAAGTCGATTTGAAAGGAAATTGGTTCCACAAAATTCCACAATACTTCTCTCCTTTTCGTCTCCTTATTCCTCTTTATGTCTTTCCCCTCAGCCGCCCCATTTCATCTTCACTTTTTGCTACCGTCCTTAGTTCTCGGTCCTCACTCACTCTGCCTTATTAGGCGTTTACTTTTTAGTGTCAACTCGCAACCGTGGATCATCGCCCCTGTCCTGTCGGCAGCTCCATGCCGAACCATACGGACAACGTCGGCTCATCCGCTTCTATTTGGAGCCCTCTGTCGTCGCGAAGGCTGGCACGCTTCAACGTGCGCACTTTATTTCACATCCATCAACAGGCAGCACTTGCACGGACATCAGGGACCTAATCGATCGACATCTACTGCTCGTCTCAGTCCCACCTGAGATCCCATTCCTGTGATGCTGGCGGCATTTTTTCATTACACCCTATTTGTAAATACCGAAACTTTGAATGCCGATCATACCTCTGTGGGCGTTGATCTTA